TGTGTGTGTGTGTGTGTGTGTGTGTGTGTGTGTGTGTGTGTGTGTGTGTGTGTGTTAAAGCTGCAGGTCATCTGTTAAACAGATAAAACGTGTTTCCTTTTGAACATCCGTGTAAAATAACGTTCAGGTGATTGTTCACCTGTACGGAGCACCAAGTGTGAAATAAATGTTTAAGTTTTTCACAAACACATTTTCATCATTCAACCCAGTTTCTAATTATAAAATCCCAGTTAATAAAAGTCCACTAACATTTTATTGTTAGGCATATTTAACTCACCGTTCTTACATTTAGCTCAGTTTTATTAAACGTTAAATATAAATGTTTAAAGGGTAAATTCTAAATCTAAATGTAAAATTTAAATGTAAAAGTTGTGGCTAAATGTTGAAGAGCCTGTGACGTACATATCCTTCAAATAAAAAAGTCAATGAAAACATCTTTATATTTAAGAAACTTAATTTAACCATTTTGTCACATAACTGACATATTTGTTTTTAAATTTGGCTCAGCCAAAGTGAAACAGGAAGTGACATCAAAGAAGAACTGTTTAGGAAACAGAACTTCCTGTGGTTTGTTTAATGAAACATTATTATTATTTGAACTCTGACTCTTGTTCATCTCTCTGACAGAGACTCAAACATCAGGTTCTTCATACAGTCTGTGTTGTAACAACGCTCTGCAATGCTAATTTACTAAATAGTTAATATAACCAGCTAACATCAAATCCCATTTATTTATCATTTATACATTAGATTGTGTCTGACAATCACAAATGACTGAACCATGGATGAACACAGAGACAAGGACAAGGCAGGAGGCTGATCAGTCTTCAGTGAAGACAGGTGAGCTGATTACTGAACGACAGGTGAGTCTGGAGCTGAAGTCAAAATAATCCAAACTGTGCAACTAGGAAATCAAACATAAAAACTTAAACAAACAAACAAACAAACAAACAAATAAATAACAAGAGGTTAAGACACTTGTAGACTTGTTTAAACCTTTTACTGCTAAAGTGTTCAAATAAACCAGTGATTCATGATTTTTGTCACTTTTTAATTGAAAACTTCCAAACCAACATACTTTAAATAGTTTATTAAATATTGGCCTCTGTGAAATTTTACACAAACAACACAGTGAAGATTTAAGGAGGATAAAACAAAAACCTTTTTAATACAAACCATTTTTGTCTTTTCTGTGCCACAGGTGAGACCTGAAGGGAGGAGTCTTACCTGCCAGAGTTACATAAAGTCCATAAAAGGACAACACAGCCATGTGATTTAATAAGTAATGTCATATTCACTGTTTTTTATAGGTTTATTTCTTTGAATAACAGTTTGGGCTTTAGAAAACTCCAAACCAGCATCTGTTAACATCAGCAGAAACCTCAGTTTCTCTGTAAATTAACTTGTTTTTTAAAAATTTTACTCAAAAACCTCTCACTCTGAACTTTATTGAGGACGTTGTGGAAGATTTTCTGTTCTTTGAACAAAACAACATATTTTTAAAGTTCAAAGGTCTTCAAAAACTGTCTACTTTCTGCTCAAACTGTGTTTGAATTCATAATTTAAGGATATGATCACAAGGAAAAAAATAGTATAGGTCTTCTGGACGGGTTCTTCTCTAATGAAACGTTTCGTCTCTCCTCCAAGAGACTTCTTCAGTCTGAGAGTTTCAGGAAAAATTCAGGCTTTTAAGCCCTGCCTCCAGGTGACTTCAAAGAAGTCTCTTGGAGGAGAGACGAAACGTTTCATTAGAGAAGAACCATCCAGAGGACCTATACTATTTTTTTCTTTTTGATTTTTTACCTGGATTACTGAGATGCATCAGGACGATATGATCACACTTTCCTTAAACGACTCTGTAAATGAACAAGACTGTATTGTTGCCACAAAGGGGTCAAAGGTAACAAACGTAATTGGTCGTTTGCACAATTTGAACTTCACCAAAAGCAACGACAGGAAGAAGTGTTTAAATAAGAGGTGAGACGTTGTGACATCATCTGTTAAACTTTGACAACGTGAGTCACAGATAAAAAGACTCAGATATTACAGCTCATGACGGCCTTTTATTTTATAAAGTTTATAAGGATGGAGGAGCTGAGGGAAACAGAAGCTCTTAAAAATACACCGAACAGCAACAACGTGTTGGTTTTCTCTGAGTCAGAGTCTTATCTTTGGTTTTAACACGGAGCACACTGCAGGTGACACACAGGTTATCACGACATCCTGGTTCTGTCTCACGTGAAACGACACCACTGAGGGTTTTATCAGCACTTTCATTCACTTACAAAACCTGGCTTCATGGTGAGGAGGATCTGAAACTAATTTATAATTTCTGTACAAGAACATGTGAAAAAACACGCTGCTGGTCGGGTTTTATTTCCTGTTTTTATTTGTAAATGAAATGCTCTTAAACATACTGTGTGTAACAAAAACTGACTTTTTTTAGCATTTCACTCAACTTTTGTTTTTATTTATCTCAAAAGCATTGGAAGATAAATCTTAGAGCTGACAGGAGAGTGTGTAAAATGAGGCCTACAGTTTTAAGTTTTATTCAAACGGCAGCCTGCAGGCCACGTCTGGCCCACTGATGAGCTCGTTTCAGATAAAACTCTATGTGTTTAAAATATTTCTGTTTTTACAGATGATCATGACAGAGCTGTGCACCTCAGTCCACCTGACAATGAGTTCATTTAATATAAAATTTATTTTAAATTGTGAATTGAATTTACGTAACAAGAATAGCCTCGTGTGTGCCCCCTGAGGATGTGGCCCCTCCTGCCCTGAGCACTTCAGTTAAATAGACCTGATTTAGGCCCTTCTAAATTTAAATGTTAAAAAACATGTTTAAATATTTAATCCTGAATAAATGTTTCAATCTGAATGTAAAAGTTAAATGTGGAGGTTCACATTTAGGTGTTTTGGAGTGGACCGCAGTGTTTGCTGTTGGTGCGCGGCTCGTGATGTCATCATCCTGAGACAACAAGCAGCAGCTCCAACACAGCGAACGCTTCACTACAACACATCAGACCTGCAGGTCTGTCAGGTGTCTGAGCTGCACCTCAGGGACCACCCAGGTTATTTACTGTCAACACATTTTGAATTTAGATATTAAATATTACCTTTAGTAGTGTTAGAAGAGTCAGATTACCAGGATGATGTCATCATCCTGCAACAAACATCAACAATGGCCACCGCTAGCCACCGCTAGCCACTGCTAAAGAAAAGATTTAAAATCTAAATTCAAAATGTGTTGAAAGGATTTAATTAAAGATATTTTTAACATTTAAATTTAACATTTAGTAAAATAATAGCTAAACGTGAGAACAGTGAGCTAAATAATAAATGTTAGTAGGAGATGTCCTGATGCATCTCAGTAATCCAGATAAAAAAATAAAATAAAAATCAGTAGTTCCTCTGGGTGGTTCTTTAATGAAACATTTCATCTCCTCCAACAGACTCCTTCAGTCTGAGGAGTTTCAGGTGAACTCAGCCTTATAAGCTCCGCCTCCACATGGTGGACAAACAGGTTGGTCACATGTAAAAGAGGACCATCAGCCTAACAATAGGTCGTTTGATTGGCTCTTTTGTTCACAGCCTCTGTGGCCTCACTGCAGCTCTGCTGCCGTCAGGGTTTACACACCAGAGAGTGATTTTATACTAAATAATGAGTCACGCTTTTATCCCACAACAAAACCTGTGTCGATTAAACAAAGTCAGCGTCAGGACATCCTGTATAACATGAAATTAATCTGATTTATGCTCGCACATTACTGCACATGAGAAGGAAATGATAAAGTAGACGTCAGTATTTTAACGGAGGCAGCAGTCTGCCCAGCCTGGACACATTTAATCTGGTTTATTTTCAGTAGTTTTGGTTCAGCAGAGTCCTGCTCTAACTTTATTTACACTAAATGAGCTCTAAATGTAGCCTGACTTCACATAATAAACACTGGTTTCAGTTTATTCTGTTTCCTGGTGAAACCATGACTGACTTTATGACTCAAAGCTGTTCCACAATGTGGACTTTCATATTTTCTGTTTCACAGGTCAGTTTATTTTGTAATCACACACACACAAAAAAAACCCTGTCTGAACAACTGTGTAGGATTTGTGTTTTCATATTATTATTAGTGGTGGGCAGCACTAATCTTTAAACTAGTTCAACTGATCCTAACTCTAATATTTAGGTCCCCTAATTCTGAAGCACTAAAATAACTCAGTCAACCCTCTTCAACAGACAACATGAGTCACATGTTCATCTCTTAATACTCTTTAACATCTCACAGCTGGATTTGGTTCATATGTTGTTAACATGTTGTTAACATGTTGTTAACATGTTGTTAACATGCTGTTAACATGCTGTTAACATGTTGTTAACATGTTGTTAACATGTTGTTAACATGCTGTTAACATGCTGTTAACATG